AGACTTATGTAAAAGTTCATTTGACAGGCAGATGGATGGATCTAGAAAAAAACATATTGAGTGAGGTAACCCAGACCCAGAAAGACAAATATGTACTCACTCATAAGTAAGTGGCTTTTAGACATAAAACAAAGAAAAGCCAGCCTACAGTCCACAACCCCAGAGCAATTAGACAAGAGGACCCTATGAGAGACATGTATGGATCTACATAGGAAGAAGAAAAAGACAAGATCTCCTGAGTAAATTGGGAGCATGGGGACCATGGGAGAGGGTAGAAGGAGAGAGGGGAGGAAGAGAGGGGAGCAGAGAAAAAAATGTATAGCTCAATAAACACAATAAAAAAGAAAAGAGTTCATTTGAATGTATGATCTGGCTATGGCGCATGTGCTGTTTCTCCATATGGATTAAGGCACACATCCTTGTGGCCCAACTGATTTATGAGATTCATATTTGATATTTCAGAGCCTTTTGCCTGAACTAGGCAGACAGCCCGGAAATGGCCTTGAGAAAGCAGCAGCTGTCCCTATTTAGAGATTTCCCCTCCTGCAGCTGCCCGGAAGGTGGGAGGCGGGGCTGGGCTCCAGTGCTGGCGGCTCTGAGCAGGTGGGGGAGGGCGGCGGGCCAGGATTAGCACTCCGGGCACTTGTTGCTCACGGCCCATTTTTATATCCACAGTCACAGACTCGGGAAGGCATTTTCTGTTGTCTCCCCCACCCCCAGACAGGGTTTCTCTGTGCAGCCCTGGCTATTCTAGAACTCACTCTGTAGAGCAGGGTGGCCTCGAACTCACAGATATCCACCAGCTTCTGCCTCCCAAGTGCAAGTGCTGGGGTTAAAGGCATGAGCCACCATCACCTGACCTTCCTTTCTCCCTCTTTCTTTCTTTCTTTCTTTCTTTCTTTCTTTCTTTCTTTCTTTCTTTCTTTCTTCTTCTTTTTTTTTCTCTTCATAAACTATTCTTTGCAGAGTTCTTCTGACGCCAAGACGCGGTAATTTTCCTTGACACCTGACTCTAGGGTTATAATCCCAGCTATCCCAGCTCCAGGGAATCTGAAGCCCTCTCCTGGGACATGTTCACATGCACACAGTAATATAAATAAACGAACCTTTAAAATGCTTCTGTGTAGGAAAGCCTATGAATAGATTCCCTGGGCTCCTCCATCTTCTCTTTCACACTTTGTCCTGAGCCCCATCCTCCTCGCCTGGTCTTGGTGTTCAGGTCTCAGTTGCCTGCCTTGAAAAGCTCCCATTTCCACCTCTTGTTGCTGAGAAAGTTTTGCGCAGACAGTGTTTGCTGGGGTCCTCAGCTGAGCCTGGGGTGTCGGGACAGATGTCTCTGGATAGTTATCAAGGAGGTTTTAGCCGCTTTTTTTTTTTTTGTCCTTGCCGCAGGACAAGCGAGCACGTTCAATCCCTGTTGGCCTCCGTTAGATCTTCACCCCAGCCTTTGAAGAGTTCTAAAGCACCCTTGACGTGGCTTCTATAGAATCGGGCCCTTGTGTGGATGTTGCTCCTTCCCATAAGTCCACCTCCCTTTCTCCCCATGCACACACAGGACAGCTCTGGCTTTCCTAGAAAGCCCAGCTCGTTTGAATAAAACAGTTGATTCTGACATCTGGGAGCTACTGATGTCAGACGCTCTACTCCCCGCCCCCTTTATGTCTATGGGTGTTTTGTCTGCATGTGGATCTGTGCCCCATTTGTGTGCAGTGACCTCAGAGGCCAGAAGAGGGCATTGACCGGAGTGACAGATGGTTGTGAGCCATGGTGGAGGTGCCGGGAATCCAACCCAGTCCTCTGGAAGAGCAAACAGTGTTCTTGACTGCTGAGTCATCTCTCCAGCCCTGACAGAAAATTGATTTTTAAGAAGTTTATTTTTATCCCAACTAATTTCTTGACTATTCAAATTTTAGTTCTATTAAATACGTGAAATTTTTAATCAGGTGATGAACACAGACTGCTCCTGGTGTCCCCCAGACGTGGCCAGTCTGAGCTTTGATGGTGCAGGTAAACTTTGGGATGTTACCTGCTGTGGAAATATCTGGACATGTGAAATACCAGGCTCCTAGACACTGCCGCTGAGAGCTAAGTGCACCCTGCGTCTCCACCTAGCCTGCGTCTCTCAGAAGGCTACGCATGAGCAAGCCTCAGCCCCCTCTCAGTGAGGCTGACCGCATGTTTCTGACTCAGGCTCTGTTAACAGAGAGGTCTACTGTTGCTCAAGTTGGGTTTGTCATCTCTGACTCAGAATCTTTATACATACCCGCAGCTGTCTCATCCGCATGTCCATTTGCTGAGTGACTAACCCTGCATCCATGTGGCTTTGTGCAGAGTAAAACCCTTGCTGGCCTCATGCTAGGGTGACAGAGCTCTCCTAATCTGGTCCCAGTCTAGTTCTGGCATTACTTCCCTCCCTCCCCTACTCCCTCCCTGCTTCCCTCCCTCCCTCCATCCCTCCCTCTCTTCCTTTTTTTTCATTATTTTTCTTTTTAAGTCAGGGGCTCATGTAAGCCAGGTCGGTCCCAAACTTGCTATATAGCCGAGCCTGATTTTGAATTTCCGATTCTCCTGCTTCTACCTCCCAAATCTGGGGAATCCCAGGTGACACCTCCTTGTGCAGCCCCTGTTCTGGCCTTTTCTAGGGACTATGGTGAGAGGAATACCTGCCCACAGGAGTCTGGCAGACACCCCTTGATCTGACTCTCGGATGCGAACCCAGGTCCTCTGGCAGGCAGAGGACGCAGCTGTCCCTAGTCCTGATATGAACCCACGGAGACATCCTGACACCTGTCTAAGCTTTGGCTGTGCCCAGAGATGAGGGGTTCCTGGCACTGTCTCAGTGGGAGAACACCAGGCTGCCCAAAGCCCTGGCCTGTTCGTTTCTTACACTTTTTTTTAGATTGTTATTTTAAAGTTAATGTACATGTTACTGGTTCCACACATACATGGTACATGTATGAAGTTGTCATACACACCATGCTTTCTGATTTCCCCTTTCTCGTGGCAGCTCTTTACCTGTGTAAACCAATGACTCCAGGCCTTACAGGCCTCCCTGAGGCTGGGGCAACTCCTCGGCAGTGGTGTTTCAGAGAATGAGGGCACCCCAAGCTCTTCTCAGCTACCCCTCTTCACCCCTGGCCTGCTTCGCTGAGACAGAGAACAGTCCATGTGCAGCCAGGGATGCAGTGGAATTATTGGGTTGGTCTCTCTCTGCTTCCCTTCTAGTGGTGTCTGGGGGGCGGTCCACGCTCCCAATGCTCTCCCTTCCTCCACCCACAGACACACATGCCTGCTGAGAAGCCCTGGCTTTGGCCCTCATCTGCTCCCTAGGTGAGATGTCACCATTCCCTCAGAATGGGTGTTGGGCGTAGCCGGGATTCCGTACGTAGTCTCGGACTGGGGACCATTGCCAGCTTCCCCTTGCCGGCTTGCCTCATGACCTACTCAGTCCATCCCACGACCTACCGAATGACTGTTGGGGGTTCTTTGGTGTCTCTGTTGCCTCCATTCAGTTCCAACGTTAGATGCACACAGGCGTCTCAAAAAGGTGGGGAGGGTTCGTCCCTGGTGAGTTCAGCTTGAGAAAAGACCTTGTGAGAAACAGCTCCCACTTCAGAAGAGCACTTTGAAAGGCTGGGCCTCCGCCTAGTGTGGTAGACGCACTGACTAAGCAGTGAACGGTTTGTGACCCTAACATATTGCTCTGCCTCTCTGTTCTGAGGTGTCGGGAAGGAACAACCTTCCTTGCCACCTAGGTCTTATCCCTCCACCCAGGGATGTATGGGTTCATTCTTACATTTTACATCCCGTTTATTCAAGGCCTATCAGCTGCAGGACCTTACAGGCAAGCTTGGCTTTGAACAGTTTTCTCTCCAAAATTTCCCTTTGGTGGAGTGGGTAGCTAAGCAGAGCGTGGTTGGTGTGTATGTGCGGGGAGGGGGTAGCCAGAGCAGCAGGCATTCGCCGAGTCTACCATTCTTTGTTCCTTTGTAGCTGGACCTAATCTGGCTTGGGGTACCCATGAAAATGAACTGCCTGATTTTATTTATAGTACGTTCCACCTGAGTCCCCCAAAGCTTCTTCCAATGACCCCCCCCCCCAATGAGACACCTCCAGTCGTGGGAAAACAGAGTTGTGGAGAGAGAGGTGGGTTGCTGAGCTCAGGCTGGGACCGGCTTCAGGCTGTGCCACACTGTATGTAGGACAGTGGCTCTCAGGCTGGGACCGGCTTCAGGCTGTGCCACACTGTACGTAGGACAGTGGCTCTCAGGCTGGGACTCCCCTTTATAAAGCAGTAGTTTGTTCCCCGTGGAGCACATGCTGAGGCATGACTCTGCACACTGTTTGCACACGCAGGCAGCCACCATCTGTCCTGCACAGACCATGAGGCACAGATGAGACATAGCTTATTTACATGCAAACTATAACCACCCAAAGACTTACCCAATTAAAGCCAAGAACAGGTGCGAGCATGGGAATATCAAAGCCATTTCAGAAAACCAGGTCTGTGAACACACTGTTTCAGCTGCAATGCAATACTTTTCCAAAGTCACATAAAATGAGGGACACCTGACAGTGAGCCCTAGTCCTTCCCTGTGTTTGTCATCCGCTCATCATGGGCATCCAACCCAGAATCCGTACGTGGGAACTTCTAACCCACACAGACCCGCCCCCTCGACATGCATGACCCGCCTAAACTGCAGTTCACCCGGCCCCAAGTGTATCCTTGAACCAGCTCAGGCTAAATCCAGCTCCTCTGACAGGTTCCTCGACCTCTAGCAACCTGGCTGCCTCCTGGTGCTCTCTGATCCCGCTGCAGCAAGGACCCTTTGAGCCCCGCAGCCTCTGCCACACTTTGTTGGCAGTCTGTAACACGATTGTGTAAAGTGTGTGTGAGCGTTACCAATGGTAATTAAGAGTACGGTAGAAGAACCCATGATGGCTGTGGCCACATCTGTCAAGGGCAATCAGTGGCACTTGGTGAATTAAAGCCAACGACATCGACATAGCTCTTGGATTTATTGTTACTTGGTAAACTGATGTTGTGGACAGAAATCTGACCATCTATTTTTGACATCTTGTGCTCACAACAGTGAATGTGTACCTCCATCAGGAGGATCTCACACATCATGGTCGGGATGTGTTTCCAGTCTTCCTAGAACCGTCTCTTAAAGGAGCACTGGCTGACGGCAGCAGCTGGAGAGACATCACAGCCTCCCAGGGCCTTGAGAAGACTGTTTCTGCATTACAAGCTGGGTTGAAAGGCATCTGTTGTAGTTACTGTTCTGTTGCTCTGAAGAGGCAGCATGACCAAGGCGACTCTTAGAAAAATGAAGCGTTTAACTGGGGCCTGGCTTTCAGTTTCGAGGGCTCGTCCACCATCAAGGCGGGAGGCAGACAGGCATGGCTCTGGAACAGTAGCCGTGAGTTCTACATTCCAATCTGCAGGCAACAGACGAAGCGAAAGAAAGACTGGACTTGGTGTGGATTTGTGAAACCTCACAGCCCACCCCAGTGACTTAACCTCCTTCAACAAGGCCACACGTCCTAAAGCCTCCTGAGTAGTCCTCTAACTGGGGACCAAACATTCAAACAGGAGCCTTTGGGGGACACTCTCATTCAAACCACCACAGTGTCCCACTGAAATTCACATCTCCTAGGATTCTTGGAGAGCCTTTTAGCTGGTCAGCTAGCCGTTTGGAGACAAGCCGTTTTAGATTCTAGTGGGTTCTGATCCAGTGTTTGGTGTCTATCTCCTTCTCCTTCAGAAGGCTACCTGGTCCTGGAAGCACAGGCTTCCCCAGCAGGCAAGACCTCTTCTCCATGCTGTGGTCTCAACCCTGACTGGAAGCTTCTATCTGGGACCATCTCAACTTGAGGTCCAGGTCCAGCGCGATCCCTCAAGGCCAGCGACATGGTG